GCGCATCTTGTCAGTAAAGCCGGTTCTGTAATCAGCGGTAAATCTCCATCACCTGTGTGCTTTCACATTGAGCAGCATTAACTACACAGAGCCGTTGTTCACTGATGAGCTGCGCAAAAAATCGTGCGAATATGAACGTGGTTTTGCGCAACTCGTCAGTGAACAACGGCTCTGTGTAGTTAATGCTGCTCAATGTGAAAGCACACAGGTGATGGAGATTTACCGCTGATTACAGAACCGGCTTTACTGACAAGATGCGCATTAAATATCGCATGCGATTTATCGTGCAGCCCTACTATGAGGAATAAATTACATTTTAATATGTTAATATTAGAATAGAAAACATTTAAAATTGTAATATTATTTCACAATGGTTTCGGTTTTCCATTCTTATTACCGTTTTCTAATCTTACCAACCCCAAATTTTTGAAAGGTATTGTATACAGTATTAAATGGAAAGAGAGATGCAGCTCATAAATAAATACATATATACATAAAGCTCAAAAATTAAGGCTTCTTACTTGGCGTGTGAGGAGGGCCACTCTGTCCAGACTGGGGTCCAGCGGAGTGAAGCGCACTGAAATCAAATCACTCATCTTCAAAGGACATCCTGACATGGGGCACAACACTGTCTTTGACTGAAAAAGCAGGAGAGAAGGAAAAACAGTTAATGATAATAGATGATGTCAAAAGAGTTAATATATCTGTGAGGTGTATTTCTTAAATTGAGTGCCCCATACAGGGTGAGATCCTTTAAAAGAGGACAATCATGACACAAGAAGCTACTGAACACACAGAGTGGAGAACTGACCAAACCAGGAGGAGAGAAAGACAAACAAACCAATCAAGGGCATCATGACCGATCAAAAGAACACTTGGCATGCAAACTGATTTCAGGGTAAGCACAATCTCTTGTGTAATGCTCTTCCATGAAGGACATCTGACTACTGAAGACCCAAGGTTAGGGACACGTGGCTGGCAAAGAGGGGAAAGTGACAGATCTAGAGACCTACGGGTTTTTTAAGCAAGGTGGGCTTGGCCTCTGGTGTGAGGCTGGGGATCCAGAAGCTGGGCAGAGCTGAAGAGGAACTGGACGCTCCTGTGTCAGAACTGGTGGAGCTGCTTGAGCCCTTCTGGCTTCCTTCATCCTTAGACTTCTCTACAGAAACATGAGGTATATACACACATAATCGAGCAGGAATCTCATTGTGTTGTACTTAAGTTTAAACCGCCTTGTCTGGTTTTCATACCTGAGGTAAAGGGGTTGATTGGCTTGGAGACAATGTTGTTCTCTCTCTGTTTGAACTTCTCAGCTCTCTCTCGCTCCTCAGACTTGGACTCCAGCTGGCCTTCACTCTTTAGAGCCTGTTTCTGCTTCTCATATGCCTGAGTTTAAAAATATGTGTGTGTTTGTTAGACAAACAGTGAAGGGCATTCACATTCAGAGCAAAATACATTAGTAAAAAGTGCTCAAACCTTCATTTTCTTGGCAATTTCTGTTTTCTGGTGAAGGATGTATTGCAGGATGGCTTCTTTTTCATACAAGTATCCATCTTTACTGCAGTAAGCAAATATAAACAAACACACATTAATCCCAGTCTCCAAGCAGCTGACACGCAAATGGTCCAGTAACACTCAGTATAACCACTTAAGACTGCGTTAAATAACCTCATGCAGACAATTTCAGCATTGAAACATTTCTATGAGTGCAAATGTGGCTCGTACGTTACGACGGGGTCCCTGCAGGGCTGTAAGGAGAGACAGCAGCAGTCAAAATCTTTGATCGCATCCTTCCCCAAACGCACACTTTGTGTCCCGTAACCAGAAGCAGCTGGAAATATGAAGTGAGATGCACAATTTGATATTGTAATTACATTTCAATCATTTCATGACACACATAAATACATAAGACCAGCAGGGATACATTACCGGTGTCTTTCTTCTTCTCGTGATAAGTGTAAACGGCTCCTGCTGTGCAGTTTTTCCCGTGTCGAGTCATGCTTGTCCTTTACAGAACAAAATGAACTGTTTTTACGGTATTGGTGAACAGATTTTGCACAGTTTCACATAACTACACGTTGGCCCATGTTGGATAATTGCTTAGTGAACTAGCGAGAGACAATCCACAACAGATATCACACATTAACGTTACAACAATAAGCCGGAAGCTACACATAAATCAAACGCAATTTGTTATATCATAGATTAATAGCAGGTTTGAACGTGCGGGAATAAGCGCAGACGTTGCTGTTTACCTCTTATTATCCTGAACCGGAAAGAACCTTTTTGGCTCCACTTCCTGGTTCGTCATAAATTCCAGAATAAAAGTTCGCAGAGAACGCTGGTATGCTCGCGCCCTCTGTCAGTTAAGCTGCACAGTCTGTTTGTCCACCAAAATAAATACTGATTTGAATTCAAATACTTTATTACATCTAGATTATAGTAGAGCTTCTGCTAAAAATATTACATTGTAGAAAGCATTTTTTTATTATTATAGCAGGGGTCACCAAACTGCAACCAACTGCAGAGTTTAGCTCCTACTTGCCTAATCAACACACATGTCCTCCAGGACCGAGTCTGATGAACCCTGTATTACAGTACTCAAAGAATAAATGTTAAAGCCAATGTACGCCAAGGACAACGACTAAAGGCTTGGCCATGTCAAAGACAATAACTATAACAATAACTATAACTAAAAAAATTAATAATCATTCTAATTTGAATATAAAAGTCGATAAAGACTTTTAAACGTCGATTAAAAGTCGATAATATAGTTATAGTTCTTTACCTGAGTCTAAAATAGATTTCTATGGACTAATTAGCATATACATATTAACATATTTAGTCTCTTTTTTACATTCATCCTCCCAGCTTTGTGTCTTTTACCTGTTCAACTTTTTTATCAAATGGATGCTAAATAATTAAGTTATCCTTCCAAGGCCACTTTACTATGTTTGCTAATTGTCTAAAGTTGCAGGATAGAGAATGGCAATGAGCTGCTCACATTTGTGAGAAAACAGTTTAGCATTATTGAGTATTGACCAATCATGATACATGCAGAGAGCCTAATAATATATTATGTAGTATGAATATTTAATGTGCTAGTTATGTTCTTATTAGCCCATTTTTACTATTGGACATCAAATATCTAAAGGCCGGCTCCTGCTAGTTCAGACCTTTTCCCTTTGTTTTCTGCTGAAGAAAGAAAATCATATGACTTTGAAACAACATGATGGTGAGTAAACGATGACACAGTTTAGTTTTTTGGATGAACATCCCTTTAAGGCCATATTTCATATCACAAATCATGTTTGGAAATCATGTTTCGTCAGCGGAAAAATTGACAGCAAAATGAAAAACATTACAACCTATTCAACAGAGACAGTAAGGACATCCCTCACAGACAATTATACTCTGCCTACACTGATATAATGTATGTTTTTGAAAGTATTATTACTTACACACATAAATAAAACATTCCCTCGTTTTATTCCATAAGTAGTCTCAAAACAACACGGTTAGGTTTGCAATTACATTTCATATCATAACTTATGTTAATAACAAGACTGTTTAAAAGGGAAATGTTGTTCAGTTAAATACATTTAATTTAAGGTAGCCTAATGAAATTATTTAAGTTCCACGTATATGTATTGACCAGACTGTAGCGTGTGATGTGGTAACATTAAAAAGAGAAAAATAACTTAATGACAATGAACATAACGCTACAATGTAAATCCTGAAATCTGTGAAACGCAACGCCCAATTGCACGTTCCTCTTTTGGCCACATGCTGGTGACGAATTGGTTTAGTTGTCGTCGTCATCGTCGTCGTCATTAAAGACGTCTGCGACAGTCCTGAAAAAGAAGAGAAGAGGGGATATATCATTATATGACAATGCTAGTAACAACAATTAATATTGCAGGTTTATTTGCAGGAGAATATTATCTTACTTATAGATGGATCCAGAAACAGAGTCAACAAAGCCACCTTTTAGGAAAAAAAAAAAAAGTGTAAAATCATCAAATAATCAGACTTTGAAATGATCCACAATCTAAACAACTAAAATAGCATGTATGAAATTGTTGTAGAGTGTTTCTTACCTGGCTTGCAGACGGTCTCACAAACAGGACACATGTAGCACTTTCCACAGTCCTGAAGAGACAACAGATAGTTAAAGTGTCCTAATAATTTCATGCTACGATGTTTTAAGTAATTGTTTGTGTAAATATGTGCATGTGGTTTTGTAGGGAAAAAGGAACACCCTATACTTTAGCCATAGCTTCAGACAACCACGTAATTTGTATTTAAACACTTACTGTTACTAGCCTGGACCCACATGCTGTGACTATAATGCAAGTCATTATTATGTCATTAATGCACACTTAGTCTGTCTATCTGCACAAACACAGCTGAAGGGCCTCTAGCTTCACTCAACAGCTACAGTAAGTGCAATATATTAACACTCTACATCTTTCTGTAGTTTTTTTTCTCTGAAAATCAAACTGAAATTGTAAATCAAACTATCATTTCTTTCAAAGAATAAATGCATTATTATTGAGCACTGTAAACATTTTTTGTTCAGCAGATATGTGTTAATTTGGTGGCACTTTTCATGATTAGAGAATAAAAGCCTAAAAATCAGTATTAAAGGGGTCATATGATGCGATTTCAATTTTTCCTTTCTCTTTGGAGTGTTACAAGCTCTTGGTGCATAAAGAAGATCTGTAAAGTTGCAAAGACCA